GAGGCCTACATGGGTATCGCCTCTGGGGCTGGCTGCACCTGTGACGGAGGTGGGTTAGCTACGGAAAATGCCGTCACACGACCCTGAGACACCTACTGAGACTCCTCTGAGGAGGAAGACCCTTCCCTGGCGGTGCAGTGAGGGCCGGAGCAAAGCCGTCCCTTCTCGGTGTTTCTGACATGAGGTCGCCTGGCGGAAGTCAGAGACTCACAGAATTCTACATCTGGAAAGTGCTTCAGAGACCGTCTAGTCGGTGCCCCTCGGTTTCCAATAGGAAGACGGAGCCCCATAAAGTGTGACTGCACGCGCCGCAGTCGAAAGACAGACCCGGGACCCCCGCCGCCCGAGCCATGCCCCTCCCGCCGAACCTCGAGGCTCCCTTCAGTGCATTCCCCAGAGGGGGGCGGCCAGGGCCAGGTGCCCCCTCGGGGCCTGCGACCTCCTCTCTTCCTCCGGGTCACCGAGTTCGCAGCAGAGAGCTGTCTCCGGTTCTGTAATTACCGACACAGTGAAAAGGCTGCGACTTGCAGTGTGGGGGCAGATGAAGGCACCCCAGGACTCAGGCACAAACTCAGATCAGAAGACATACTCTCAGCTACGCATCCCGGCCTCTCTTCTCACCCGCCGTCCTCTTTCCGAGGGTCTCTGGCCTGTCGTGAGCACCTCTGCGTCTGGTTCCTCATATCCCCACATCCTCCCTCTCTCCATCCGAGGTCCTTCAGGGGGAGCCGATTTAATAGCGCATAAAGAAAACAATCAGCCTAGCATATGAGTTGCCTATTGCTGCATAACAACTTACCCTGAGACCCATTGGCTTAGAATAGCAACTGTTTGTTAACTCACGGCTTCTGTGGGCCAGGAACCCGGGCGCTGTGCGGCAGGGTCCCCACAAGCTGAGGGGCGGGCTCTCCCACCAGACCACAGTCCCCTCGAGGCTCAGCAGCTCACGTGGCTGTGGCAGGCTCCCTCGTGGACTGTTGGACTCGGGGCCTCCGTTCGGTGTGGCTGATGGCTGGGAGCCGCCCTCAGCCCCTTCCCGCGGGCCTTTCCGCAGGGCAGCTCGGGCGAGGGCAGCTGGCTTCGTCAGTGTGAGGAGCCAGGAGAGGAGCACGGGAGTGTGGGGGCGGATCAGAGTCTCAGTCTTGAAGAACCGAACCTCGGAGGTGGCTTCCCATCGTCCTGACACACTTATAAGAGCAGTCACTGAGCCAGCCCACCTTCAAGGGGAGGGGATTGCACAGGAGTGACTGCAGGGCAGGAGCCGTTGGAGGGCCCCCCCCCCCCGCCCCCCGGAGGTCTGGTTAGAGAGGCCCCGCTCTGCTGCGCTGGCGGAGACGCCCCAGTGACCAGTGACCGCTGCCTGCCCTGCCTCCTCCGGCCTCGGTGCTGGGCCCAGGCCTCACTGAGGGGTGGAGCCAGCACTCGCTGCACGCTGCAGGCCGGCTGGCCCTCTGGGACACAGGCAGTGAAGTCAGTTTGAATTTCACAGGCCACCTACTCAGGCCCCCCGATTTTTTTTCCTTTTCTTAACTGGGCTTGATTTCCCTTTTCAGTGCTCAGCGTCTGCACTGTGCACTTGGTCTCGGCATTTCCAGGCAGACTCTGCAGCCAGTCACTTTAGAGACTCTCACCCCCTTCCTGTGCCCGAGATGGGTGCTACGCCTTGGGGACTTGTGCTGGGTGCTGTTCTATCAGCGGACGAGTGCCCGCAGCTCCAGCCTGACCTGGGCTGAGGCCGTTGTCCTCCGCGTGCGGGCAGGCCTGGTTCCCACTGGCCGCACTCCCTGCTCCGTGGCGGAGGCATCAGGAGTCGTAGGCTCCCCCAGCACCCAGGGTCCTCACACGGTCTCACTGAGGTTTGCCTTTCACGAAAAGGCACACCTTTTCATACGCCTGCTGGCCCTTTACGTGTTTGTTGTCCTCGGAACGTGTCTGCCCAGTGACTCCGACCGTTTTTTTATTGGACTGTTTGCTGTTCGCTAAGTTGTACGAGTGCTTTATATATTTTGAATATGAACTCACCATCACACGCACGGTTTGCAGTTCTTCTCCCTCAGGTCGCCTTTTCATTTCGTTGGTGGCTCCTTTGCTGCGCAGAGCTTTTCAGTTTGCTGTGTCCCTCTCGTTTAGTTCTGCTTCCGTTGCCTTTACTTTTGGTGTCAGGTCCAAACAGTCATTGCAAAGACCCACAAGTTCTTTATCGGATATAATCTGTAAATATTTTCCCCACCATATGGCTGACTTTTTTCCTTAGTGGTGTCCTTTTTATAATAATTTCACTTAGCTGTAATTTACATAACACACAATTTACTCTTTCAAAGTACACAAATCAGTGTTTTGTGATATATTCACTGAGTCGGGCAGCCACCACCACGACCAGTTTTAGAACACTCCATGACCCCCAGAGGGCACCCCGTGCCTCGTAGCACTCACGCCTCTCCCCCCAGCCCCCAAACCCCCCAGCCCCAGACCACCGTTCATCTCCTTTGTCTCTCTGGATTTGCCTGTTCTGGACACTTCGTATGCACAGAACCAAACAACATATGGTCTTTTGTAACCAGCTTTTACTTTGCTTATTTTCAGAGTCTGTCCACTTTGTGGCATGTATCAGTACTCCATTTCTTTTCACTGCCAAATCGTTTTTCATTGTAAAAATATACATTTCATGTAAATCATTCATCAGCTGATGGATGTTGGGGTTGTTTCCACTTCGGGGGTATTACGAATAATGCTGCTGTGAACACTTGGGTGCAAATTTCCGTGTAGATACACATTTTCATTTCTCTTGGGTGTGTACTTGTAGTAGCGGCGTTTCTGGGTCATGTGGCACTCACTGTCGAACCTTCTCAGGAATTGCCAGCCTGTTTTCTAAGGCAGCTGGACCATGTTAGGTTCCTATGGGCAGCTTATGAGGGTTCCCACTTCTCTGTATCCTTGTCAACACTTGTTATTGTCCGTCTTTTTTATTATAGCCATCCTAATGGTTGTGAAGGGTTATCTCCTTGTGGTTTTGATTTGCATTTCCCTAATGGCTAATAATGTTAAGCATCTTTTTATGTGCTTATTGGATAGGTATATATGTATATCTTGGGAGACTGTCTATTCAGATCCTTTGCCTACTTTTAACTTAGGTTACTTGACATTTTATCACTGAGTATAAGAGCTCTTTACATATTTTAGGTACAAATCAGTAATCAGATAAATGATTTGCAAAAATTTTCTTCCATTCTGTGAGTTGTCTTTTTACTTTCTTAAAGGCGTCCTTTGAAAAAAACATTTCATTTTGATGAATATCAATTTATTTATTTTATCTTTGTAGCCATTGCATCTTCTCATATCTAAAGAATCATGGTCTAGTTTTAGTTCTCATATTTATTGTGATCCGTTTTGGGTGAGTTTTTATATATAACATGATAAGGGCCTAAGTTCATATTTATTTGTATTGTGGGAAAAAAATCTCAAAAAGCATGCTAATGATAAAAGCACATTGCAAAAAGATATGTGCAGTAGGATACTATTTATGCAAAATTTAAAAGCGTGACACATCGTATATTATTCATAGTTACCTATGTATACACAGGTACAAAGCTCCACACCAAAATCTTTGGTAGCGGTGGCCCCCGAAGGGATTAGATGAGGGGGCTGGGACTGGAAAGGGCTGGTGGTGAGGGGGGTCTTCAGGTTTTCCTGCAGCATCTTCAGGCTGAAATAAATGGATACAGTGATAACAAGTATTAATGGGGTGGTATATTATGTTATACTTTGTAGCTTCCTCTATTTTTTTAAATTCCTCTAAACACACACACACACACATACACACGCACGCACGCACGCACGCACACGAGGCAAAGCAGGAACGATGGAGAACAGACCGTTCCCAGCGAGCCTGGCGCCACACTGCCTGCAGCGTGGAGGTGAGGCTCCGTGCAAACAGCCAGCCACCTGTTGGGGCAGATTCTGTTTGTGTGGAGGTCGGTGGTGTTGCACTAGATCCCAAAAGGATAAGCATGTTCATTTGAACTCATTTGTACACTTTGGCTTACGCTTTCCCAGCGTCGCTTCCACGGAGGGCCCCAGCGTGTCCGCCACGCTCAGGGCCCCTCGCTCTGCAGAGCGGCAGAGCCCCCTCGGGGAGCTGTCTCTAACCAGAGCTTCTACATCACGTCCCCTTGCCCCAGGCTTTGCCCACACCGACCCCAGAGCCTTCACAAGGCAAGTTCCATTTCCACGGAACATATGACCATTCTCACCCGGTCCCTGCAAGGCGGCCCACAGAAGACCTCACCTTGTGTGCCTGATGCGCGCAGTGTGACAGGCCAGGTGACCCAGCTCCTGATGCACAAATTTAGGCACGTGAGGCACGGGGTCTGGAGCCGCAGAGGTGCAGGGGACGCGCCATGTTCCTGGGGGAGACGGAGTCATTCCAGCATCTCCCGTGGGTAGCCTGACACAGGTGGTCACTCTTTCACCCTTGGTTTTCTCCTGTAAAACGGACACAAAAACCTGTGCCCTTTCTACGCACCGGGTGCCGTGAGGGCCAGATGAGACGGTGTCCATGAACGTGCTCGCAAACCAGAACAAAGAACGTTTACAGATTGTTTTCCGACTGTGTGACCCCCCACCCCCACTCTCAGACCCTCGGCCCAGCCGCCCGCTCAGGCTGCCCCTGGAAAGGCCTGCCCTCTCTGAGCTAGCCCCTGTGCTCCCCCCACTCTGGTCCCTTCTGCTGCTGCTGTTCTCTGTACCTGCCCCTGCCACACACACACACACACACACACACACACACACACACTCCCTTTCTTTCTTCCCGTTCTCTCTCTCTCCGGCCATGGAGGCAGCCTGACTCCTTCCTCTGAAATGTGGCTGCAAACGGACTGCCTCGCCCCGGGGACTGAAGCCCAGTCAGCCGGCCGGAGCTGAGTGAGAAGAGGACCCTCCCTCCCTCCCTCCCCCAGAGGCCAGGCACCTGAGATAACATTTTCTGTCTTTGCTTCTCCCAGGCTCAGGCCGCAGGATCGCCGCACACCTCGCCCACGCACGGAGGGGGCGGCCGCCCCATGCCCATGCCGGTCCGCTCGGCGTCCACTGGCTCCACGCCCACACACGGCCCCCAGGACCCGCTGGGCGGCGTCGGGGGAGACATGCAGGAGGCCTTCGCACAAGGTCAGTTTCGGGACCAGAGTGCGAGGCAGAGAACTGAGGGGGTTTGGAAACATAGACGAGATTCTTACTGAGAGTTTTCCTGTTTCTTTGCTCCTCGGTTTAAATGGTCAGATTTTTACGCACAGAGTTAGTAAGTCAGGTGCTGGCTCTTCCTCCCTCGAGGACTGTCTCCAACGGGAGGCTGGCAGGCTTTGCACCTGTGCAAAGAAAGACCTCCTGGGCTCCTGCGCTTTTTTTCCCCCCGGCTGTGAGCAGTGCCTTACCCTTTGGGCTTTGCTTCCTCCGGAGGAATGGGGTGGAGAAATTCCCAAAGTCATGTGCTTAGGACCTTGCTGAAGGCTCATTCAGTGTCAGAATGTCACCACTGCCCGCAGGGCCAGCGGCCAGAGTTATGCAGTTGGGGGAAGATGGGGTGGTGAGGGAGTCTTACTGGGGTGCAGACAGAAGACAGGGAGGAGGCAGCACTGGGGAGGGAAGTCCTGCCTAGGACTGAGGCGCGTCTGGGAGCGGTATTCGTTCCGGAACTCAGCTCTGTGGGTTGTGGCAGGAAGCTCGGAACTGACCGGGCCCTGCCCTCCTGGCAGAGAAGGAGAGGGAGGAAAGCGTGCACTGGGCGACCTGGAGCTGCCGGTGTGCCCGGGGACCGGCGGGGCTGCTGCGGCCCCGCGGCCCCTCGGCGGTACTCGGCGCTACGTCCCAGGGCCTGGCAGACCGAGTCTCGCGCTCTGCCCTCCCATCTCCACGCCCACCCACCTGGCGTCGCCATCTGCTCTGACTCTCCTCAGGTACGAGGAGAAACCTCCGCAATGACCTGCTGGTGGCCGCCGACTCCATCACCAACACCATGTCATCCCTGGTGAAGGAGCTCCACTCAGGTGAAGCCCAGAGCTCCCACCCGGCCTCCTGTCTCCCCTGCCTCTCGCCCGCCTCGCTCCCGCGCCACACGGCACAACGCCGCCGGGGAGCAGAGACCCCTCATGCCACCCCCCCATCCTCTTGCCTCCTAGGGACACCCTGGATGTCTTCACCCAGAGAGTCTGTCTCCCTCGAGATCACACAGAGATAATTACACGTTTCAGTTTCTCTTAAGAGCACAGCTTGTGGAGCCAGCGCAACTCAGAGCTTAAAGAAACGTAGGCCTCCACGTACAGTCGGGCCCCTGCCTCCCCGATGTGCCTTCTGCCCGTGCTCCTTCCGCGGCTGCTCTTTCCTGTCCTAGGCCCCGGCCGCCGCCTCGCTCCGCAGCTCCCCTGCGTGCCTGGGACCACATCGGCCATCCACGGACGCCTCCGGACTCTCTCCCAGCTGCCTTTCTGCCCCCTCCTCTCTGATTTGGTGTTGAAACCCTATTCTCCCCTTTTGTCCATGACTAGGCTCTCGTTTCACTTGAAGTTCATGACCTGAGTCTGTTGCTTCCTTCCCTCCTCGGGTTCCGTTTCATCTGTGACTTCTTTCTCAGTCTCTCTCGATCACTTAGCTGTTTCAGCGATTTTCCAGAGACCCTTACCTCATGCCCATTTCCCCCCTTCCGTGAAACCCAGGACAGGAGTAAAAGCCCATTCCCATATCATCACCCCTCCAGGAATCCCCATGACCCCATCCGTTGTGTAGCTGCCAGATATCTGCTGGTTTTCTTACAGTGGCCCGATTCCCATGTTAAATATTAAGCAGGCGGGTTCCCTTCCCGAGTTCCATAGGTCACTCATACAGATGGCTCTCTTGTGTTTCTTCTGACCTAAGGTAATGCTTTTAGATGCCTTGACAAGGTCATTAATTACCAAGGTTATTAATTAAAAATATAAAGCTGTTTTTCCACGGACTGTTCAAACAGATACACTTACGCAAACACACGTATCGCAATCACCAGGCTGTGCCCTGAAGGGAGGCCGGCCCACAGCTCTGCAGACTTCCCGAAAGACAGTGCGCACCTTCCAAGGTGCCCCAGGGCCGTGGCGTCGCTCGCTCTTGAGTCTGCCTGCTTTCTTTTAAAAGAGAATAAATGCAGGGCCCAGGCTGGTTTTCCCAGGGTGGCGGCTGAGATAAGGTGTCAGTTCTCCTGCGCAGGGGGCGTGGTGGTGATGCCACCCCCTCCCTAGTGCCTGTCAGAATCACCGCCCCTGCACACACTCGTGAACAGAGCGGTCACTGCCGTCGAGATGACTTCACACGTGACCAGAACGTCCCTGTCACGGCTCCCCACGGATTCCAGGCCATGCACGTCAACCACACTGGTGCCTCTTGGCCACTTAGTAGGGTTTATGCAGAGTAAGTGGCTGTGAGCTCATCACACTGACACGGGAGGCAACTGGACACCGTCCAACAGAAAACACACACAGACCAGACAGCGTCACAACCACTCAGAGTTCAGGGGGATCCTCCGCCACCTCTCACAGCAGGGAAGCGGGCGGTGCTGACAGAATTAGGTGTGTCCGGAAGGTCCCTGAGAGGTCCCGTTGCCCATTCCCTTTGCTTTGGAATCGCAGTGAGCGGCTCACAGAAAGGTCACTTGCCTGGAGTTAGGCAGCTCAAAGGGGCAAAGCTTGTTCTAGAACTGAAGCCTGGAGAACATTAAGTCTGTGCTCTCACCACCACCCTGGTCCCTATGTAGGACAGGGTGTCGGATCTGGGGTCCCACGAGGCCCCTTTCCCTGGTGCTGTACCCTCTCACACACTGGAGACCGAACGGAGATGCGGACCAGCCCCCACACAGCACCGTCTCCACAAATGCAGGAGTCAGCTTTCCTTACCCGCGAGGCTGCCAGTGCCCCAGGGACTGGGACAGCCCAGCCGACACTGGCCGTTTCCTCTGCCACCCTGGAGGTTTCGGTCAGGGTGCGGCTGCATCCTCAGGGTGCCTCCCCATATCTCCCGTACAGCGTGGCCGTGCTGTGGACACCCCTGGGTGTCACTCACCCCAGCCTGCCTCCCGACACGAAAGCCCTCTGTCTGTGTGTTCCCAGTGAGCTCGCTCATGACCAGCTCTCACCTCTGGAAAGTTCTTTCTCATCAGGGAGCCAACTTATGCCTTTCCGTAACCCATTTGTGCTTGCTCGACCCTCTAAGCCTGCCCAGAGCAAGTTCAGTTCCTCCCCTTTGTGTTGCCTTTCGAGTATCCGGTGCCGAGAACAAGGCCCTCCCTGAGCCTCATTCCTCTTGAGGCAACTATGGGTCATCCCTTAGGCTGTTCCCAACAGGACGCGGTTTCCACCACACCATCCTGCTCGCCGCCCGCCGCCCGCCGCCCGGGGAAGTCGCCGGCGTTTCCAGGCCCTAGTTCAGAGGCCCCAGGGCTGAGCGCACTCCACACCACAGGGGAGGCTCTCTCTCGAGAGCACAGTGACCGTGACCTCCCAGAAGGACCCTTGGGGAAGCAGCCTTAGACCGTATTTTTTTCTCACAACCACATCACAGTGTTCAGTCATTTTAAGACTTGTCAGCCGAAAACCCCTAGTGGTCCGTTCGTCTTTCTGGACTCGGCGTTAGTCTAGGTTTTCCCCGCCGTGCACTTTCAACCCGATGGCAAGATGCTCGGTGTGTCCCCCGCAGGCGTCCCCCCTTAGGGAAACGGGCTCAGAGGACAGGCCGCCGCCCCCCTCGCCACCAGGGAAGCCAGCGGCAGTGTAGGCGACACCGGGCTGCTCTGCGGGCCCGGGACTCCCCAGTAGCTCTGTTCCACCGTGCAGGGGACGTGCGCACAGGGTGCAGACCGGGTGGGGGAGCAGCCTGGGGGGCTGTGGCCCGGGGCCTTGGGCTGGGGGTTCGCCCCAGGCCTCCCGAGTTGCTCCCTCCGCCCCGCTTCTGTGCTTGTCCTGCGCTGAAGGGTCACGGGCCTCCTTGGACTTGTTTCCACAGCGGAGGAAGGTGCAGAGGAAGAAGAGGAGAAGATGCAGAATGGGAAGGACAGAGGTAAAGGCAGCTCACCAGGAGCCCCAGGTTGAGTGGGAGCCAGAGCTACTAGCCCCTGAACGGACCCCCCCTTTTGTTTCTGCCTTCCTTCCCGCTGCCGCCCAGAGGGTTCGGACCCCCACAGCACCCCCTACCTGCTTTGCCCAACCGCCCGGCAAATTTTCCGCCCCCCTTCCCCGCCCCGGAGGTGGTGGTGTCCGTGGATCAACACAGCTTCCTAGACATTGGGATACAGGAAATAGATGCTCGACATTGGGATACAGGAAATAGATACATAGATGCTAGACATCGGGATACAGGAAATAGATACATAGATGCTAGACATCGGGATACAGGAAATAGATACAATAAAACAAAACAGGACTCCTCGCCTCCAGGAGTGTATAATATAGTTAGGAGAGCAACGTGCAAAATAAACAGGAGACAAGTGGAGGAAGAGTTCACCATCAGACTTGGAGTGGATGATGGCAAACACAGGAACGTGTCCTGAGGAGGAGGAGGAGATGGTGGTGGGTGGACTGGCCGAAGGGTGTGGTGGCTTCACGGGAGGAGGAAAAGCAATGAGGAGAGGCTGTGGCAGAGAGGTCACACAGGCGACGTGGTGGAGACGCGGTGGGATCGGCTCCGGCCGCTGCAGGCCAGCAAGTGTGGCAGTAAAGCCGGTCCTCACCTTTTGCCAGTGGAGGCTCTGGCCTTCGGTTTGTACAACAAAAATAGCAATATCTGGGAAGTGCAATGAAACGAAGCATGCCTATAAGGCCTTCTCAATCTCACTGCAAAACCTCGTTAATACCTATCTGTGAAGAGCTGTGCTAAATGGTTTCCCCTATAGTCTCCTTTAATCCTTAACAACCCTGTGAGGTATATAACAACGCTTTGCCAATGAGGAGACGGGCTCAGAGGAGTTTAGGTCCCGTGGTTAGGAAGTTGCAGGTACCGGGCTTGAACGGGGTCTCTCTGACTCCTGACTTCATGCGCTCAGCCTTGGTGCTCCGGAGTTACACTGGACAGAGAGCCAAGTCCTCCAGGGGCATTCGAGAGTCGGCTGTCCCTTCTGTCAGCTGTGACTATGTCCGTGCTGGGTTCCCCTCAGCGTGAGTGCCACAAGGCAGAGGTTGTGGTCCGCTTTGCTCAGGTTGTATCCCCAGTGCCTAGAACAGCAGCTGGTGCGTAGTGGGGTGTCAGCAAGGGAACGGGTCCGGTGAAATGCACGGCGGTGTGCCAGCAAGCATTTGGTCAGGGAGAGAGCTGCGTGCCGGCCGCAGGAGGCACGCCCTCCGGTGGGGTCTCACGGTCCCGTGAGGGAAGGATTCCAGATGAGACTCAGCAGTTCGAGAACTCGCTCAGGTAGTAAGTGTCAGGGCCTGGGCTCCCTGCAGGTTTCTCCAGCCCCGGCGCCCGAGCTTTGGTCGGAGCAGATCAGCACCCTGAGTGACGTGTAGGGAGGGAGGGCCGAAGGGAGTTGGTGCAGGCTGGGATGCTGCGAGGGGAGAGGGGAAGCCATGTGGCCTGGGGGTCTGCAGCCTTGTGTGCCCCGGGGGCTCGTGTGGGTGAGACAGGGAGGGCTCTCGAGTGGGTCATCAAGGACAGGACATCGCCAAGGGAGAAGCTGGGAGAGGAGGGGACATCCTTCAGGTGCTGGACTCGTTCGGAAGGTGGCCAGGAGCCGGGATGAATGGATGAGGGTGACGTGTTTGGCACGGATGTCAAAGGTCAGAAGTGGAGGGCAGTGGTTTGAAGCGTCTGGAAATGCTGCAGAGAAGCGTCGGGACGGCCGGCGTCCCTGTGCCCGTAGGGGTCTCAGAAGAAGGCAGGAGGGCCGCAGTGCAGGAGGTGAAGAGCAGATACCCAGGGATAAACTTACACTTATGTAAACACAGCCTGCAAACACAAGCACGCACGCACGCACACACACAACCCAGCCAGATCCTGGCATTCATTTTGGAATGTTCTTGGCTGAAGACTTAACAGCTGCTACTTTGGCCTCCCTCCCCATGTACCCTCCCTTCCCCAATAGCTTTTCCCATGGCCTCTCCCCAGCCTCCCTCCGCTCCCCTGTAGCACAGAGGACTCCTCCCTGCCCACCGGGGCCTCGCCCTGACCGTGGACTTCAGCCCTTAGCCCTGGTTCGAGTCTGGTGCAGGCTGCGTCTCACCTGCGGACTGGCCATGGTTTCCCTCACCCGGTGTCTCCCGGCCTCGGGGGCCTCTGTCCTCACACCCGAGCCGCCCTATCGGCAGCTCTTCTTCCTCTCCCTCTTTCAGCGTGTATGTACGCCAGTGTCTTTCTATCCGTGTGCAGCCTTTTTGTGAAAATGCCTGAATTTCTATTTCTCTGGCTTTCCATGTCATCCCCGGGGGGAAAGGGGGAGGAGTGTTAAGAGCTGGGGTGAGAGAGAGGGTTTAAAAAAATACCTGACTTGGCACATTGTAAAGGCCCTAGGATGCCCCTCTGCGGCTGTTACGTGGGAGCTGTTCTAAAGCCGAGTGTTCTCGTGGGTGGCCCTTCCGGCTCTCTGCCGTGAGCTGGGCACGAGTTTTTACTGGGTAGACTGACACTGTGGCAGCCGCTGTCACCTGGGTGTCAGACGGCAGTAACTGTCGCCCAGAAAGAGAAAGAGAATTGCTGCTTCGGGGTTGAGATGCTGCCGACATAATATACACGGAACTTGGTCGGCGCCCTGTCAGGCGGCGTGGCCTGCTCAGTGCAAGACCCCTGTGAGCCCAGTGGACGCTCTGGAAGGAGCTGGATGCCCCAATCACATCCGCCCCCTCAGGCCTCTCCCTGCCCTCCTTTGGCTCTCTGGCTGGCTGCACCCTGGGGAACGCTTCTGCTCTGTCGGGGTCCCCTTCCGACGTTGCATCCTGCACCGCTTACCTCGAGTGGCGAGTGCTTTTCCCCAAGACTATGCAGAACAGACACAGAAGAGCAGAACTCACCCCGGGGTGCCTCCCAGCCCCACCCATGCCTCCGCTGCTCCAGAACCCCACTTTACGCTCCCGTGTTCTTCCGAATCCCCTCTCCCAGCGCCTGCTGTCCACGGCGAAGAGCTGTACATCCAGTTTGCACACTTGGGCAGGCCTGGTGTGTGTCTGGCGAGCTGGCAGCCACGGCCCTCTGTGAAAGTGGGCGGGGGTTTGAGGGTCCGGGCAGTGCTCGTCCTTCCGGGGTGGGTGAGAGAGTGACTCCCGGACAGACGGGTCTGCGCGAGGGAGACGCTGCCCCCGTCACAGTGCCATCACGGTCCCCCGGTTCGCGCCCAGGACACGTGGGCCGTGTGCCCCCGAACTGACTGCTCCCTGGATTTACGGTGGCTTTGTTTCCGGGCAGTGTCAGTGTCCCCTCCTCCTGAGAGGCGCTGGTCCTCGTGGCGAGTGTGTGGCCGCTGCAGTGGGTGGTGGTGGGTAGTGGTGCTCCCTTGGGTTCAGACCTGGTTGGGAGAGTCCCGGGGCCCGTGGGAGCAGGGGGCCAGGGAGGCCCTGGGAGAATATCGGGGAGTGAGAAGACCCTTGTTGTGACCTGTGTGTTGTTTGTGTCCCCGCTGCCCAGGTTAGCGGAGGAGCCCGGATGGAGAGCAAGCCAGGTGAGTGCCGACTATTCTCTCTCTCCACAGCCCTCTCCCTGCACAGCTGAGGTCCCCCCTCCCCCCACTGAGGCCCATTCTGATTGGTGGAGACCCACGTTAGGGTTTTCTTTAAAGAGCCCAGCTGCGCCTCTTCCCCTCTTCCCTTTGCCCGACCCCACCAGCCTACCCATCTGGTCTGGGTCCCAGGCCCTGACCGACCTCTCGTGCTGTGCCCGGGCCTGGGCCCAGGCAGGGCTGGGTGTCACCTGTGTCGGGATGTAGTTACCCGAACAGGCTTGTGACTCAGAGGTCGGCGGGGAGCCGCCATGTCCTGAAGCTCCCTCTGCCGCGGCTCCTCACCTTAGTCACCCGTTTCATCACGCAGATTCACCCCAACTCCATGGGCCAGGCAAGCCGTGTCCCGTGGCACCTGGCCATGCTGCACCTTCTCGCCTCCTTAAAAAATTAATAATAAAAGTACAGATTTCCCCCACAGCAAATGCCCGTTGCCTTGAGGAATTCGTCTTTTACACGTTTTCCATCTTAGGACCTTAATTCTTCCCTAGTTCCAGTTACAAGATAGCGCAGCTTCTGGGCATGCTCACTGGAGGGACAGCGCAAAAACAATCAGACTGCCGTGCTGTTCCAGAGAAGAGTTCTTTCCCAGGGTAGATGGCTTTCGGTGCAGCCCTGAGAGTTCTCTTTGTTTTTCGATCTCTTCTCCCCTCCCCTCCCCCGCCTCTAGCGCTTAAAAGTTAGGCCATCTCAGTTACAGATCTTTCAGGCACCAAAGCCAGGGCCGCAGGCCTCACAGCTCAGAAAAATAGCTTTCCCGGACCCTTCCAAGTGGTCTTACCCTGGAGCGGCCTCCAGGCCGTGTCCTGACAGCCTCCCCATCCCACCTGCACCGGGTCCTTTCCAGCTCTCCCCTGCTCGCACCTGCGGGCTGTGAGCTCGCACCGACTGGGATCCTGCAGGCCACGGCGAGGCAGCGCCCAGGCTGCTGAAATGCTCGCGCTGGCCCGGAAATCCCAGAGCCTGCAGGGCCTGGGCAGGCGTTTACCTAAACTCCCTGCGCACTCAGGCAAGGCCCTTGCCAAGAGCAGCCCGAGGCTGCCCCAGCCGGCCCGGGAGTCAGGAGCCGACTTGCCCTTCAGGAACCTGCCAGAGCCCCTGTCTCCCAGGCACAGGAACTGGGGGACGAGGAAAGGCAGGTCCACGTCAGGTGGCCCGCCCCCTGTTTGTGCAGATGAGGCCCACCACCCGACCAACCGGGGAACCTGGTGTCAGAAACAGAATCAGAGCTGGGTCTTCCACGCCCAGCGCTGTTCCCTGACACTGTCAGGAGTTAGGGGAAACGCCCAGTGCTAGAGAGTCAGGTGAACAGCATAAAAACTCCAGTGGCTCCACTTCAGGGGCCCGTAAGATCTGCTCTCTTCGGCCCCTTGCATACGGGCCTGTCTCTGACCCCCCTGCCCTTCTTTCTCCTCAGTTCTCCTTCCCAAGAAACCACCACCTCGCACTGCGAACCCAGTTTCTTCTTTCTTCCTTGGGAACACTCCCCAAACCGGTGACCTACACAGGGACCCCGAAGGCCCTAGGTGCCCCCAGAAAAGAGCATGCCTTTCCCTGAAGGGGGCGCGAGTGCCGTCCGCCCTCCACATCTCCCAAGGTGGAAGGCGACTCCCCAGCAGCCCAGCCCTGCACGTTGTCTCGCCCCCAGCAGATGAGAGCAGCATTTGCTGGGGGACCCTCGGCAGCACCCGGAGTAACAGTGCGTCTGTCCTGCACAGGCACGGGGCACGCGGAGTGAGCTGGCATCGGCCTGAGGAAGGCGAGGCCCTCCCCCAGACGGGCATTCCTGTCCATCTCTCCACGGCACACCTGGATCGGGCTCGCAGGATGCCAGATGTCACCACCTGCCAGCGGGAGGGGAGCCCAGCGCCAGTGGGAAGTGGGAGGGAGCACCCGACGCCCCGCTGGTGGGCGGCCCCTCGCACAGTCCTGCATGAACTAGCACCCTCGCCGCTCCTCTCGGGCGGCGGCTCACCTCTGCCCAGGACTCGACCGGGAGGTTGGAAAGAGCAAAGAAACAGCACAAGTCTCCTCTGTGTGTGACCTGATGGCGTTCTCGCCGGCGGCTTGCTAGCTTGGGGGGTTCTCCCCAGGATGGGCAGGGGGGGGTGGGGGGGGCACATGTTTCCCCGCTACCTTTGACCTTTAAAAACAAACAGGTTTTCTTCCCCCTGTCATTCAAGACAGCTTCAGGCCCTGCTCTCTTCTAGAGACATTCACGCCCTGGCCACAGAGCTAAAAATAGCCTCCTTTCCGCCGGCCTGCCCCGCCCCATTTGATGCTGCTCTATAGCCTAGGCAGGAAGGGGGAGCAGAGAGCTGGGGCCGCATCCTGGAGGTTCCTCCTGCAGCAGAGGGTTCTGTGCAGCCAAGCCGGTGGCCGGCCGCCAGGGCGTCGTGGCCATCAGCCGCCAGGGGGAGCCCTGCCCGCTGCGGTGCTCCCTCTCGCAGCCGGTCCGGCTCAGGGTTCCCTTCTGCTCTGGCACACATGCTCTTCGAGCCCAGGTCCTGGTGCTTTGCATTTATTTATTTATTTTTTCTCCTCCCTGGGCTCCAGGATGTTATTTTTAGTAGAAGAACTTCTATAAATATTTATAAAGGGCAGTGACTGGAATGAAGTGAGAGGCCCCACAGCTGGTCCTCACATCCCCCCAACACACGCCCCTCTGCAGACCCCTGCCCGCTGCCTGAGGAGGGCTGTGCAGAGCGAGCGGCTCGGCCCCGCCGTACACAGCGAGTCACATGGAGACCTCGTGAGGGAGCTGCCAGGGTAAGGCAGGGGCAGGCGTGACTCCCCACCCCCCCTCCCCTGCGCTCCCTCGATCACTCATTCCTGAAGGAGGGCACGGCGGTGTGTGGGAGTGCCGCGCCCGGGAGGCCCCGCTCCCGGGCTTCGTAAGTGCGGGGGTGCAGGGCAGGTGCAGGGCAAGCTGCTCCAGCTAGATGACAGCCAGGAGCAAAGTGGGAGCCGGAGCTGGCTTCCCCTTGGGGGTGAAGAGCTCTCCCCCTGCAAGCCTCAGGAGGAGCCCCCACACCTGGGGGAGGGCCTGCCCCCCACAGCAGCTCTAGAGTGGCGCGGGGGCTCACACTGACCGGCAGTGAGCTGAGGCCCCGGAGAGTCGGCAGGGGTTCTGGGATCAGAAAAATGAGGGAAAGCGTGCTCCCACCCTCAGCAGGGACCCGGGCTTGCCAGGAGGGCCAGCAGGGGCAAAGGTGAGTGTAACCCGGGGGAAAGTTCAGGGGGACACTGCCGAACCATAATGAGGTGAGGTATGGGGCGGTGACAACACGCTCGCAGAGGTGACACTGGGGTGACTGCTTCCCCCACCACCCTGACTTCTCACACTTTATGCCCGGCCCCTGAGGACGGCAGAATCCCTCCTCCCGCTCCCTGACATGAACTACTTGCTCCTTGCAAGGAGCCGAAAGCCAAATGAAGTTAGGGAAGCACCCAAACAGCAGGGTGCTCAGCCAGCGGAGGCGCATGTGGTTCCCTGGGCCACGAGTGTGCCACTCTGCTCCGGGGAGGCTGCACGGCTGAGTGCCACTCAGCAGGCTCTGCCTCGCCGTCTGCTTGCCTGTGCCGAGGAGAGGCCTCGACGCCTTCCACCCCGGGGAGGCCCGGAGCACCCAGCCTCCGGCTGTGGCCAGCACCTGGAGGCAGGCGGCACTGGAGAGAGCTGCAGCGATGGGCGCAGGTGGCAGCCTGAGGGTGCATGGGTGTTCCTCCTTTATATAAATTCTGGTTGACAATTGACTTCTTTTAGCGCTAGAATGTCCACCATTATTTAAGGCCCCCGAGGTGCCTCCTGACTTCTTGGCATCTGATTTATATCAGAAGCTTAAAGCAGCGTCCGTTTCTTCAGCCCAGACTGGAAACGCGAGTGGCCGTCCCGTAGTGGGCACTTCCTCCCTGATTGCTGTGACCGTGTAGGAACCAATCTAACCTCGGTGGATGATCTCTTGCTCTAAGTGGCGTGTGCTGTCATCATCGCGGGCCCCTCAGGGCTAGCCGGTGCAGTGTTGTCGCTGCGGAAGCCCCTAGAGAGATCCCAGACGCATCCTGGGTCTTGAGCAAGTCGTGGCCCCACCGAGCTCCGGTCTGTAAATCCCAGCTGTGCTGAGGTTCCATCTATTTTCACAGCCTCATCTGCTGGGTGAGCTTTCTCCGCTGGCGCACCCTCCCCAACCTCCACCCCCCCCCCGCCCCGCTTCTGCATTGCTTACGCCCTGCTCCTGTAGCCTGTGACAGCTTCAGAAAGGTACAGTTGCTATGGCAATGCCCGCAGCCATCTGAATTCCTGCTGCACCTTCTGGAAGGAAAGGGCTTGTGAGGAGCCATTCCGTGGATCCCAGATCTAGCCTTCTCCGGCCTCTCGTCTGCCAGGGTCCGGTGGCTGGAAGTGCAGCACGTAGGGAGCCCGTCTTCCTGGAAAGATACTCCCCATAGGTGCAAGGCCTGTGCACCTGGGCAGGCTCTCCACGTGGCGATCAGAAAACTAAATGAGGCCTCCTACCTGGGGCTCTTAGGTAGCATGCAGTGTCGGTGGGTCTCCAACTTAAGAGTCCCCTGGATGGCCTGTGAATAGGTGGCTTGCTGGGTCCCACCCCAAGAGTTTCTCGCGCAGTAGCTCTTGGATGGAGCTCCCGAGTGGTGGTGGTGGTGCTGCTGCTGTGGGTGCTCAGACCACCCTGTGAGGACCACTGTACCATTTGTGAGGAGGAGGAGAAGCATCCACGTCAGCACAAGAAGCCGTCACCAGTCAGGTGGAGAAAGGCCAGAGTCAGCTGTCTATTCTAAAGGAAGGAAAGGGAGTGGGGAGCGGGGAGTACTTTACAGTCACGTCTCTTGGCCAGGGGTCCTAGGGATCATGCGCTGTGACTGGTAGTCCTGCACTATTTCCCTTTGGTCCCCAACAATCAACGGACAAACACATTCCCCTAGATGTGCAGCAGGGGGCAACATCCTGAATAAGGCCTTGAACTTACAGAAGACCAACCTCACAGATGCCTCGTGGTTGGGAAGGTCTAGGTCTTAGTGGTGGGGGAGGTCCGGCCCGCCCAGCCCTGGAGGGAGGAAGAGGCATCACAGGCACCTAGGCCCCCACTGTTGGAGCTGGTGCACCAAGATGCTTTCCCCAGGATACAAAGATCACATTCCACACTGCGCAGTGTTCAAGCCCCAGCTGTGCTGCTTACCGTCAGCCTGCGGGAAGCTCCAAGCCCTGTGGGTATTATCGTCCTAAGAGAACAGGATTGCCAGCGAACCCGCAGTGGGTGTTGCAGGCATTCCCAGCCATGAATAGCAGATGCCAGGTATTCGGGTGTCTTCTCTGCACCCTTCACCCTGACCAGAAAGCCAGGCCTGTGCAGGTGGTGGGCTTGGTGTCTGTCCTGCCCGGGGTTGTTTACAGACAGGTGGAGCCATCTCCTGTCTGCCTCCCACCCTGTGCAGGGACCGCTGGGGGTAGAGCGGTGGCGTACAAGCAGGGGGCATGGAGTCCGAGTACCAGTTCCAGAATGCAACATTCGTTTCCCAGTTCTGTGAAGCTCTGAGGGTGTAGAATCCCTCAGGGAGACCCGGAGGCCAACTGGGACCCGCTGGAGAGGCAGGCACCGGGTAGCCACCCTTGTTTTTCTGAAGTCAGTGGATCCAAGCGCTGCCAAGAGGCAGACTGAGAAGGGACAAGGAGCCTTGGGTGGACTGTTGTCCATTCCAGAAGCTTCTGGATGAGCGCTGGCCCCTCCCCAGGTCTGCAGGCCTCACTGAACGCAGGGCCTTAGGGTTAAGGTTGAAGCCTGGTCTGTGTGTGTAACTAGGGAGTGAGCAGTGGGCTTGGAGTGTCGGCACTGTCCTCTGAAGCCCCCGGGACTGGGGACGGTGGGTGCAAACCGAGGCCCCTGCAGGCAGGGAGGAAGGGGTATGTATGGTCACTCCTCCGAGTGGGCGGTCTTTGGGCCCGTGAATGGGGGAAGAGACTGGGAAGCGTCCGCGTGCGTTTAAGTGACACAACTAACATATAGAAACATTAAAGCTGCCTGGAGCCCAGGCGCGTGGCCAGCTAATGAGTTAGTATCAGTCATAACC